TTTCGGTGAATATTTTTGTAATTTTTGGTAAAAAGTGATATTTTCGACTTCTTGTTGAAAACCGCAAGTCCAATTACTTTGATATTACATATATAGGTACTACATGTGGACTTCTGTCAGATTTGTTCATTTCATAATGATATCTTTAATTCTCTAATTTTGATGAATATTTTTGTAATTTTTGGTAAAAAGTGATATTTTCGACTTCTTGTTGAAAACCGCAAGTCCAATTGCTTTGATATATTATACATATAGGTACTACATGTGGACCTCTCTCAGATTTGTTCATTTTCTAATGATATCTTCTGTTCTTTAATTGCCATGTGCATTGCTAACAGCAGAGCTATCTCAGCCGACAGGCTGCTTGTTAGTATTTTTAGTAAACAATTCTTTTTCTATTTAGTAATCCAATAAGACATGGTGATTGTGTACAAGCACGTGCTTATGTAAACAGCAAAGTTTATTTTCAAACCACCTGAATATCATTAGCATGCAATTACTGATGCATTTTGGGTAATAGCTGAAATGCTAAGTTGCTGGAACCACATTTGTTATTGTTTTTTTCATTCAAACTTCCTGTGAATTCATATCCTTCATTTAAACACATTGTAAAGGTATCATGGGACCAATATTAAACATCACCCATGGCAACAATCACTATATTTTGATTGTTGTTTATTTTTTGTAAATTTTATTTTTTTCACAGACCAGCAAAGTTAAAGATAACCAAGAGGATGTTACCATAGAAACTGTATCAAGACAGAGTCATGCTTGTTGCATCATCTGATACTGGCATCTAGTCTGCCAAGATACGATTACGAGAAAGCTATCTAGTCACTCATTGGATGTATTCTTTGGAATATTAAATCTGGGATTGGAAGGAGCAAATATGATGTTGTAGAAGCAAACCCATTTCTCAGATTCTAAAAAATATTTATTAAATTCAATAAAAATTGAATGAGAAAATAACATCCCTAAATGGGAATCCTGTTAACACATGTCATACAGGGTAATACAACCAGCCAATCAAAAAGTGCAGTGGCAATATGATGTAATTTAAAAATGTTTCAATGTTATTCTAATATAAATTTTCGTTTCAGTTTGGATTGTGAAATTCGAAAATATTTTTAAAAATGAATGCAATGGGTTTGCTGTGTAAATATTATCAAGGCCCTGACTATGAACACACATCTATACTTGTGCCATGACAAATTAGTGAATTTTTTTTTAATATCTCAAGCTGAATATATGAAAATTGTAATATAAATATTACCTCTAATGACTATCTGAACCAGCCATACTGAAGTACATCTGAATTTTAGAATCAGCCAGTGTTTGCATTCTAAATTAAATTATTAATAATGAATTATTAGAGACTTAATCATCTTAGAATGGTTTTATATTTGTGGTTTCAAGTCATACCATGACAATTGTATCGCTCTATAAATATGTGCCTCATATTGAATCACAAACTCTTTCTCTCTTGAGGAGCAAAAGTCAATCTGGTCCGGAAGGTTCAGGGGAGTCTCAACAATCATCCCAAAGTACCGTTTTCTGCAAGTTTTTGGCCTTTGTTTTCACCTCGATGGTTGCCATGCGGTGAAAATGCCCGGATGTCCGCCCCTGAGGATAATGTGTTTGTATGCACAAGGATAACTGACATACTGCTGTGGGAGTATTTAGATGACCCATGGATGGATGGATGGATGCGGGTTTGTTGATTTTTAAGTAACAGACATGTTGACAGTGTTTATCTAGTTAAATATACACTGGAGATAGAACAAAACTCATTGTTCATTCATAGGCTTCCCTTTTGTTTATATAATATAGCGCCCTCAACCATAAACAGCTTCGCAGTTATACACTGCCCTCAATTATACACTGTTATAAATCTTGCTGAATAGAGTGCCACATATTTTACCAGATTAGAACCATTTTTTTTTTCGTGATGCTGTATAGCATTTCAAATAAAACAAAATACTGCAATTTATTTATTCTTTTATTACAATGATTACTTCTGATTACAAAAAATTAAATTTCACCTTAGTGCCTTTTATGTTAACTCACTCTATGCTTAAAGTATTATACTTCAAGAATTGTGTTTTTATTCAAATTTAATATTTTGTAATGTTTTTTTTATAAATTTTTGTTTGTGTCTTCAGTACTTTTGTCTATTTATTGAAGGGCGGTGGCATCAGATATTCAAATTTTACTTCCACATGATGCTATGAAACTCCAATCATACACAAGTTGTGACAACAAACTTGTAAACATTGCAAACGTATGACAAATAAATATTTTACTGTAAACATGGACTATTCATTTTTTTTATTGCTGGCTTAAATTAAATTATGAAAACTATGAACTCAGTGTACTATACTCTGTGCTCAGAGTTATTGTGTACATGCATTGACCCACTGATATCTGTAGATTCATTAATTATGCATACAATTTTGATGTTTTCAGCATATTCACTGTGTTTTCATAAATTTGCATTTAATGCATTTACAATAAAACACTGTTTATCAGTTTGACTTAAATATTTGCACATTTCAATATTGATACTATCATTTATCAAAAGTCTACGTCACAACATATTGTTTCATTTGTTATACAATGTAGACTGCATGTTGTGTTGTAAAAGTCATACGATTCCCAAATTGATAGCGTTTATGCGCTTGCGCATTCTGCTTGACCTGGGTTTCAACAAACCGGAAGGTATGACAGATTTCGAATGTTCCAAACCTGCAGCGTCGCCGTACACATCTCATCCGTGTTTTCAGCTCTCCGCGTAAAATATGCGCTCAAATAAAAGTATCAGCCTCTGAAAATGTTCACACTGTTCTGTCTAAGCATGAAAAACGAGCACGTAAATTATCATTGACTATAATACTTTCGTATTTAGGGGGGTGTTTTGGAAGTTAAAAAATAAGTCAGGGTCATATTTACTCCGCGAAAAACGCACGACAGTACTACAATCTGATTAAAATAAGATCTTAGTTTGATCTTTATTTATTTATATTTTTTTCAAATATGTGTATAAATATTTTTCTTATTATACATTTTCTTTTATTTTATTTTATTTTATTAATTTATTATTAATTTGCTGTCGGTTTTACTAATTGTGAAAGCGTGGCGATAGATGAAGTAATTCAAGTTAAGATGTACGTAATAATAATAAATTACAAAACAATGAAAATATATAGTAAAAATTCACACTGTACAATACATCACGTTTTAATCAGATTGGACAGTACTATATAATATCTTTTTGGAAAAAATCTTCTTTTCCAACCGGTAATTCACGTTTCTCAGCTGTATTACATAGTTCTTCTAGCTGCCCATTTTGTACCCATCCACACACAGTCAGCTGGCGCACACGTGATAATAAAATAAATACGATATTTACTATATGGGGGCCGCCATCTTGAATTGAATGCAGCATAAAACTAAATAAGAGACAAGTTGTGAAACGCGTTTTTCAGCATTCAACAAATCTGGACAAAAATACCAATCTTTCACAGAAATACGATACATTGGGATAATATTAAGCCAGCCTATAACAAAATTCGGCCGAATTCGTCGTTATTGTGTGGAAAAATCCCTTAAATACGAACACCTAATTACACGAAGAACATAGAACACCTTCCCGGGGAAAACATACTAGTAATATATACAATATAATATATATTCTCAGAAGATTATACAACAAACTTAAGTTGGAACAGAAATAAATCAAAAAATAATTGCCGTAGATAGATTAATACTATACATTCAATACTTAAATAAAATGTGTTGAACGTCATCTTAATTTAAATACATAAATTCAGTAATATTATTATAGAAATATACACAAAAACTGTCATAAATCGATCTCTATGGCAACATTAACACCTATACTTAATATATTTAAAATTAATTTAGAACTTGTCTTATTTATTTTATAAACTACCTAATCATAAATACATACAAACCGTCTAAATATGAGTGGCACCACTCATTATTTCCGAGTACATCGTCACGAAAGTTTGCATATCAACAGTGACTATACGTTTCACATATTTTGTGCAGTCATAACTAAATCAGTACGCGAGCAGGTAACGTTCCTTGCAAGTTCCCGGATGTAAAACAGGCTTGTAAAAACAATGACGTCATACATTGCGCTTTTGGTCTGTGTTAATTTTCTAGCAAGGGGTGAATATATATGTGAGTGTGTCTATGCTAAATAGGTGTAGGTGTGTCTTTAACGCGACTGTGAGTTCAAAGGCACACCGGGTTGGCACTGGCCATGGCAGGGATAATTGTCGAAGACACCATAGCTGTGTTTACAGAGTCCGGCGAGTGCAAGATCGAACTGTGCTTCGGTGATATCACGAAACTTAAAAAAGAAGACGCCGTTGACATAATGATGTTACCGTCGTTCAATGGTAAGATAACAATACAGCGGTGGTCCGTCAGGGTGTTTCCCTCTACAAATTGAACCGACGCTTTGTATGGAAGCAAATCCAGTGTAACTGAATTCAATCATAACGTGTTTATGCGTATTTTCATTGTTTAGACAGATGGTCCGTTTTCAAGCGTTGTAGGCTATGAAATACTACAACCGCTAGTGCGTATTTCCATTAAGAGGGACAACCACGGAAAATAGGTCACTCGTTCCCTTAAATATTGGTGGTTTATTTCTATTTCGTTACTGAATCATAATGGTTTAAATTATGGGAAGTATGTAGTTATAAAATCTGATATATATATTATTTTGACGTGACATACCACCGAACCCATTCCACACCACCGAACCCATCCAACACTCGGACTTTGAACATGTTTACGTTGGTGCATAGGTACATAGTATTCACGTAGTGACGTACATGTGATGACCCGACACAATCTGTACTAGGTTAAATAAATACAAATAGACTACTTACTTAGACACTACATTGGGGACAAAGTATATGTGAAATAAACTATTTAAGGTAGAGATGCAGTTTATTTGGCTTGCTTTTTAATTGAGTAATTAGACAATGAAGATGGTATTATATGTCCAACATGTTATATATTTTCTGAAAGCTTATTATACAAACTTTGTAAAACTAAACTAAACAGCCCGGAGTTTGTTTATACGGAATCATGTGAATGTTGCTTTTCCGCGATTTGTATTTGAGCTATACATCGTCAACAGCAAGCTTAATGAATGAAAATAGAGGCATATATACTACCAAATGGTTGACACATTAAGTTTAGAAATATGACACAGTAATTATTATTATTATTATTATTATTATTATTATTATTATTATTATTATTATTATTATTATTATTATTATTATTATTATTATTATTATTATTATTATTATTATTATTATTATTATTATTATTATTATTATTATTATCGTATTAAATGTATCCTATAATAATTGTACAATTCGTATTTCAAATGTCGTCGTTTTCCCATCATTTAGATAGTCAGGGAAGCCTGCCCCCTATCGTCAATTCAATAGCACGGTCGCTGAATCTGTTGCGTTCCAAACTTGGTATGGATAGCGTGTCACGTGACAGAGAAGAGGAGCTGAGTAAAAATCACAGCTGGTGGTGGTCCAAACCACTAAGTGAACGATACAAATTCAGAAGACTGGTATGCTGTGAAATTAAAAGGTAAATATTTTACTATGTATGACCGGAATTTTAGAACATAACTAATAATAATAATTTTGAATAAGATTCGTTTCTTATCATGTTTTTCATTTCTACCTAAGAAGGCATTTTATATAAATTCTCCTAAAGATTAGA